CTTTTCCAAAACGGTTAAGTTCGAAAATAAAATATTGAGCACCATTTTCTAGCTTTGTTGTGTAGTTTTGGGCCCTCAACCATAAATCTGCGAACAATCTACTTTACAGGTTTTGCGTCCTCGCGATTACGCACGGCGTATGTACCAAAGAGTTTATTAGCCTTTGGCATATTAATAATTGTAAGGCTTCAAGTTTATGAGTCGGAGATTTCTTTCACGTGTCACTGGTTTACCGTCGTCGTGCGGGCCGCCATTCCTTGTGAACCAAAGCATTCTAACTCGCTGTTCAAAGGACACGCGCGCATAGGTCCATTTGCTGAGGAAAGCTATCAGGTGCACGACAACGAAAAAATAAACCATAAATTAAAAAGACATGGCATAATTTTTCATTGCGATTCACCGAAGTACGTCTCTTGTTTGACCTCTGGCCACGAGTGCCCTAAAAATTGAGGGATGTCCAAAAATTAATATAACTCACTTCCGATGGATAGATCAGAATAACTAGGTGTGCCGGTTCAGGTGCCAAAATCCCAATGTTGATATATGACGTGTATAGGTCATAAGCTGGGATTATAACATCATCCAGCGAGAAAGTGCACAACGCAGAAGAGATGGTTAAATTTAACTAAATTAGACGCAACGAGTGTCGCTGTCTGATTAATGGCAAATGCGCAGTGTTTAACGATGTTCCTCTACCTGCTAGATTCTAGATATTACTTTTATTTTTTCTTCAGTGATGACCTGAAAACAGACTAATAGCGAACATGTGCAGTAAATATGACAGCGCCGCCTGATCGATAGCCATGTTTTTCCTCCCTTCCGTGGAAGCATTGAGTTGTGGCACCTCTTTCTTTGCAGAGGTTCACTCTTCGAACGCGCATCGTGTTTCGTCATACTGCCTGCTAATTTTGGAAACTCTGCTTCCGAACGGCTCATGGTGGCACGGTTGGAGTGTTGCTGTGTTCCTTCAGTCATTACGGGTTTTCTTGTAACGCTTGGCACAGCCCAAATCACATACTTTCGACCGGTGAAAGTGGATGTTGCTGCCATGGTCATCTGAAGTACCAGGGTCAAAAACGGATTTGCCAGATTAACGATGTCCAACGTTTCAGCTTCTCAGAATGATTTAGAAGATGTTAGTTGCTGGGGC